CATTCGTTCTGCTATGTTGTTTTGCTGAGGTGTACCTAGCACTGTTCTCTCCAATCTGATGCCACTCTCATAGAAAAATTTCTCGAACTTTGAATCTTCATATTCGCCTCCATTATCTGATCGCAATTTCTTGACCTTCAACCATGTTTCATTTTCTACCATAGCCTTCTATCTCTTGAAGACTTCAAACACTTCTGATTTGTGTTTCATGAAATAGACCCAAGTCTTCCTCGAGTGATCATCTATGAAAGTCACAAAGTATAAGCTTCCACCAGCGGATTGTATTGATGCTGGACCCCACACATCTGTGTGAACTAGCTCAAGCTTCTCTTCCTTCGGTGTTCTGCCAACTCTTTTAAGACTTATTCTCTTTTGTTTCTCGAAGATGCAACTTTCACATAAGTCAAAATCAGCCGACCTCAAACCTGGTAACTTTCCTTTCGGCTGCATAACCTTCAGGCTTTTGCTACTCATGTGACCAAACCTCTGGTGCCACAAATTTGAATCTTTTTTACTTTCAACCACTGCAATGGATCCACATGCATTTGTCATCATGTAGAGAGATCCACTCTTCGTACCATAGGAAATAATCATAGACCCTTTGGTAACATTCTACGTATCACATACGAAGGTTGATGTATATCCCTTTGGTAACCTTCTACGTATCACATACGAAGGCAGATTCTTCCTTAATCTAGGAATATGACTCACATCATTCAGCTTCCATATAGACCCATTGAGTTCAATTTGCACCGTTCCTTTTCCAACTATATCACACGGTTGATCATCGCCAAGATAGACTTTTCCTAAGTTTCCTGAAACATAGTTCTCAAATAAATCTCTATTTGAGGTAGCATGAAACGAAGCTCCTGAATCCAGCACCCATGATTCTGTCTTGCTCTCTAACGAGCAAATAAGGGTATCATCTGATTCTCCTGAGACGACGTTCGCTTTAGTCTTGTTCTCCTTATCTTTCTTGGGCTACACTGATTCTCATAGTGCCCAAACTTGCCACAATTCTAGCAGTCAATCTCTTTCTTGCTTTTGCGATTTCTGGATCTTGACCTGCCATTCCTTGAATTAGGTCTACCACGGTTATTCCCTCTATTTTTGTTTCTATTCCTGCCTCTACTCTCAAAATTCAATGCCGACCCTGAATTAGAAACTCCTTCTTCTTGTCTTCTTATCTCCTCAGTCATAATCATGTCTACAACTTCTGAAAACTTCACTTTCGGTTTTTCACATGACCTGCTAATCGAAATAACAGTGCCCTTCTAACTATCAGGCAACTGACCAAGTATTAACAGAGCTTGAATTGCATCATCAAATTTAATATTGACGGAGTTTAGTTGATCCGTAATCTCATTAAACTCATTCAGGTGTTTCTTGAATTTTTGGCTCTCGGACATCCTCAAATTAAACAGCTTCTTTATGAGATGTACCTTATTCACCGCAGAGGGTTGTTCGCGCAGCTATTAGATCCGCCGTCGAATTCTGATTCTTGATGTTGAAAGCTACAGATTTGGACAAGGTCAACCTGATTGCTCTAAGGGCCTTCCGATCTAATAGCTTCCACTCTTCATCCTTTATATCCGTCGGCTTCTCTCCCAATGGCAGATATAGATCCTTTTGATAGAGGTAGTCTTCCATTTGCATCTTCTAGAACCCGAAGTTTGTCCCATCAAACTTCTCGATCTTGGACGTCTCCTTCTCAGATCACATGTCTCTAACCTCAAATTACCTGCACCAAACCTGGTCGCTCTGATACGACTTGATAGGGTTTTAACTAACCCCCAGATGTGATTTGGAAATAAAGATGAGAGAGAGGAGAGAGAAAAAACAATCACACAAAACACACAAGATTTACGTGGTTTACTTCTTGATGTGAGAAGCTATGTCTACGGCCGCCGCAGGAGAAAATTTTACTATTTTCGTTAATCTTACAAGTTTCCCTAATATCCCCTTTAATAACACAAGGATTAATACAAATATGATTCTAAAACAGTTCAGCAAAAAACGAGCCTAGGCCCAAAAAACCTGACTCGCGGTTGACCGTAGAAACAGTCACGGTCGACTGCAGATATAGTCGCGGTCGACCGTAAAAAATCCCGAGACCAAATCTGATTACATGGTTTGGCGCGGTCGACCGCACATGATGTCGCGGTCGATCGCAAAAAGTCCAGAGACTTTTTGTGGACCTGTGCACGTTCGCGGTCAACCACAGCGCCACTCGTGGTCGACCGTGAAGCCTACAAGCTGATTCCTTCATCGTTTTGCCTGACCTTCATCGCCGTCGTTCTTATTCCTCCATTTTTTTATGTTTCCTCTTCAAAAATAAGGTATAGAGCAAGTCGGATAGTTAGGCTCCACATATCCTAACAATGTCCTTGTGGGATTAAGTGAAAAAATAAAATATTTTGGGGGATTTTCTAAAATTCCCATACTTATTGGGTGGTTTCAAAAAATTTAGACCTCAATGTCAAATGACTAAACTTATTGTAGGTTTAGTGACATTTATCATAATTTTAAATCCCCCCAAATTACTTCATTCTCCTAAGTTTGCCCTTCTGCTTAACGAATAAAGCATCGACATAGAATATTTTGTTAAATGAATGAATACTTTTTAAAAATAACTAATCTATTCTTAAATAAATAAATTTAATAATTTTAATCAAAATTTAATAGCCATTAATTCATATTTTCTTTGCCCAAAATCCCATAAACTAGATGATGGCAAAATATGCAATATGCCTTCTCTTTTTTTCCTTCTCGGTAAATTTTTGCAAAATCTCACAATCATGAATCCAAGTCAAATCGATTAAGCGACATCAAAACAAGTCAGACACATTAAATTTCATTTAGCTATGAGAAATATTCTATTTAGTGTCATTTATCCTTTTAAGAAAAAAATTTAGATATATATTTAGTGTCATTTATCCTTTTAAGAAAAAAGATTTTAGATATATACACCGTGAATTATAGACATTTTTAAAATTTGCCCATTAAGTCATCATAATTTTAAATCCCTCGAAATTACTTCATTCTCCTAAGTTTGCTCTCAAGCTTAATGAATAAAGCATCAACATAGGATATTCAATTAAATTAATGAAGACTTCTTTAAAATGGCTTGAAAATTTAAAATTTATAAAAAAGCCTAAAGTTTTCAAAACGGTACAAAAAAAATCTAAGAATTACAAACAGCTCCATAATTATTTTTGAATTTTTAAAAAACACCCTAAAACTTTTAAAAGCTTCAAAAAATACCCTAAAAATTTAAAACTTACAAAAAATTCTTTAAACAGACATATAGTAAATTGATAACTAGGATTACAAATATCCCCTTAAAAATTTTAGAATTTTATAAAAAACATCCTAAAACATTCAAAAGTAGCAAAAAAACCTTCTAATTTGAAATTTATAAAGAAAACCATGAGAATTTCAAACCTACAACCGTTATGCTGAAAATGTAAGAATTACAAGCAGCTCCTATAAAATTTTAAATTTATAGAAAACAACCTAAAAGTTTTATAAATTGCTACAAACTAGCTCAAAAATTAAAATTATAAGAAAACACCTCTCTATAATTTTTTTATCTTTTCAGGTTGTAAATGTCAAAATTTAAGGGTATTTTTAAGTTTTAGGGTATGTTTTGAAAATTCCAAAATTTTCAAGGTGCTCTTTGTAACCTAGATTTTCAATTTACTATTGTAGGTAAAAATGTTTTAAGGAGTTTCTTGAAAAATTTTCATTTTATGGTGTTTTTTGCACCTTTTGAAAGTTTTAGAGTTTTTTTTGCAAATAAAATATTTGTTGAGGTCTATTTGTAATTCTTATGTTTTTTCAGTGCACTGTTCTTGGTTTAATATTTTAGGTCCTTTTTGCAAATTTTAAAATTTTGAGGGTTGTTTGTAAGTTTTAAAAGTTTTAGGGTTTTTTGTGCAAATCCCAAAATTTTTAGAGCGCTATTTCTTATTCTAAGATTTTCAATGTACTATATATGAATTTGAAATATGTACACTTTATTGTGAATTTTAAAATTTTGAGGGTGTTTATTGTAATTTTAAAAGTTTAAATTTTTTTTTGCAAATTATAAAGTTTTATGGTGGTGTTTGCCATTCATAGATTTCCTCTGTTCCTTTTAGGTTTGAAAATTTCAAGCTTTTTTTGTAAGCATTAAAATTCTAGGGTGTTTTTACAAAATTTTAAAAGTTTTAGGGTGTTTTTTGTAAATTTAAAACTTTTCAAGGCCAATTGTGTGTCTTAAATTTCAGTTTATTCTTTTATGTTTGAATTTTTTTGTAAATTTATAATATTTATGGTGATTTTTTGTAAGTTTTTAATATTTTATTGTGTTTACTACAAATTCTAAAACTTAAAGCCTACAAATTCAGTCTATAGGTTGTTGTTGGAGTATGCAAGCCGCAGAATATAAAACTTAAACAATCAAGAAACCCAAAATCTACCAAGCAATCAAGACAAACAGCAAACAATAAGATTTAACGTGGTTCCACGCGATCAAGATGATCCGTGTACGTCCACTGGGAGAAGGGGGAAGATATTATTTCTTTTGAGAAGAGATTACAAGAGGTTGAAACTACACACCCCTAATAATGATGGAATATAGATCTCTTTTTTTTTTCTTGTTTGCAAACCCATGGATTGATACAATATATATAGAGATTGATTTTGCTCAATCCTATTAGAATTCTAACTTGAATCCTAATTGAATTTCCCAATTCAATTAATTCATTCAATTCAATCCTAATTAGAATAGTATAACTAATCCTAATTAGAGTCCAAACTCAATCTTGCTTATCAACTGATTTGAGTCATCCCCAACTCAACAGTTGCAGCTTTAAAGTTTAAATCTATGCAACTCGATATTTTAAGTCTCTCAAATCCTAATGTTATTACAATTAGGTCCATCCATAATAAAAATATCCTCATTTAATATTTCTTTAAAAGATTATTCGCAAAAAATACTAACTTATCTATATTAGAACGCAAATGCCGCGGCAAGATCAATTTTGATCGTCACTTTTTTCAGACAACACCGGTAGAAATTTACAAATAGTCCAGCTGCGAGAAAAGCCTCACTTTTCCTCAGCTCCCAATATTTCATACCGATCATCGAGAGTTTAGGGTTCGCAAGAAAGAGAGATGGCAGAGGAACAGGAGATACGATCAGAAGTCGAGGCTGTTCTGGCCGTCTACGGATCTCGCCGTCCACATCAGGCCTCGCACCGCCGACGATTCAACCCAACAAGTAATCCTCTCTCTCTCTCTGGTTCTAGGGTTTGTCTCTAATTCAAGATTTCTGTGCTGCAAGTGATTTGATTGTTATTATGTTCTTATTGATTGCTAGGTTTTGCATAAATCTCGCAGTTAAGCTAAAAGTTTAGTCTTTTTTTTTTCTTCCGAAAGTTCAATTTTTGTGAAGTTTTTGTAGTAGAGTGAACTGAACATTGATGAATGTATCAAGGAAAATAGTCAGTCTTTACAGAAGTACAAGAAAGACAAGTTCTTTCAGAGATACAGATTAAACCTCAGAGAACAGCACATCTACTTCATTTCGACAAAATCCTACAAAAACAACAGAAAAACTACCGAAACAAGCTAGAAAACTAAACTTTAGTCTATCAAATACATAAGAGGAAATTAACATCCATCTATGTGAACCACTATTATAAATAGCGGTAAATAGCTCCGCAATAACGGCGCTAATAGCGTTAGCGGTCCCTTCCTACTACACTATGCCGTCGCCTAATAACGGTGACATATTACGTAATATACGTTTTTTTCTTGCAAAATCGGCCAATAGTGCACCATAGCAGTGAGTAGTGGGCGATTGCGGGCAAAATCCGTTTTTTTATCGCTATTTAAAAGCGGTTTGAGATTTATTTTTTTAAAGTTAAACTCGACCCGCAACAACTACATCCCACCGCCTCCCTCGCTTTCCGGCATACTCCCGCCGCCTTCCATAGCCTCTGGCACCTCCATCAGCACTTCCTCTCACCTCCTCTCGCCGTAAGCTCCTCCTAGTGCAGTCCTCTCACCGCTTAGCTCATCTTCTCGAAGATGACAACTCTTTGACTTCTCCAGTTATCTTCGGTATGATGTGATGATTACATGTCTATTTCATGTTTAGAATCTCTTTAAATCATCAAATGCACTTTTAGATTTTCTAAACTTTTTTTATAATTTTTTTTAATATTTATACATATCTAAATTAGGTCGTTATTTGACTTTGCGTTTTTATCGTTATTTTACCGCAATAGCCCCAAATAGCCTTAGCGATGCCTCACCGTTACGCTATCCGATATCGATAACCTTGATGTGAATCTAGCTTAACATGGGAAAAACTAAGTAGAAAACACAAATGAGTAGATTCATCTTACTATAAGGTAAGAGAATCCAAGGAGGAAAATGTTAGCAAAGGATAAGAGGCTTAAGAGCTACATTTTATCATTACCAGAACCTTGGTTCTCTCGTAGAGAGTTTTATACAGGGTTAAGTGGGGAAACTGGTTAGATTTGGAGCTGTTCGGTCTTGCATCAATTACTCCCCCGATGAAATCGATCTACCTTGGCCAAGGTCGAACCAGGATCCAGCAGAGGTAGCAAATGGCGCGGTGCAATGATGAAGCTAAGATTTTTTTTCTTCCGTGGGCCAACGTAACGATCATACTAGACAATTAATCAAAAAGCAAAAAATGACGATGTATAAGAAACTCTCATATTTTTAAGTAGATGAAAGAAAAATCTGGAATAGAAGTTTTATCAAAAATCATTTTCAGGAATACTTGAGGCATTTCAATATATCCACCAATCATTGAATCAACATGCTCCAATGTTCTAAAGTTTCTTCTTAACTACAAAGAAGCATGGAAAAATGTGTAATACCAAAAAAGAAAGTATCTTGTGTGTATTTACAAACATTTACATAACAATATAGATATCATATTTAGTTTCACATTTAACCAAAAGCTACAACATACTTATGCTCAAAAGGTGCATAATACATTTTTAGAAAAAAAATTAAGAAAAAAGATATTATATCACAATTATCATATTACAAGAGTCATAGTATTTTTGATAAACAAACTTAAACTAGCTAAGTTGTCGTCGACATTCTTTTAATTGAACTAAACTCCTCTATGATTGCATCTGTGCAAAATTTCTTTGCACTTTCTTTGTCCATGTACGAAATCAAGGAATAATTAAGAATTCATTTTCCATCTTACTTCGAAGCTTTGTCTTGACTATCTTCATGATCGAGAATGCTCATTCTATAGTTGCCATTGATACAGAAAGAGTAAACGCAAGCCAATCAATCTATCAATAAGTGGATAAATTGTTGACTTGCTTGTTCTCGGCAAGCCTTGACATAATCCGTGAATGTTAGACGACATTTATAATTTGGAATGATTGCAAACATCATGCTCATAATGTTGAAGTTCCACTTTCAAGCGCACTGACTAGTTCTTGCTCTAAGAAATCTGTAGTATACTTTTCTGCTATCTTAGAAATGTCACCAAATTTGAGTGACATAAATCTCTCTCTAAAGCGGTGCTAAGAACAAGTAACTCCACTTTATGCTCATTGAGTCTGTTATCTAGTTCTTACAATTAATAATCAATTGTTATAAGAAAACCAAGTGTGCTCAACACCAGCGGGATCTTCTTGCCTTAGAGATGGGCCACACCTCGCAACATATCGAGAACCCATATCCGGGAGCTCAATATAATGTTGGTCGCAAAATGATTTAACTTTCTTAAAGAAAGCATTCCAACCAACCCGAATATCAGAGATTCTAAATCAGTCGTTTCATGCTTGAAACAAGATGCGTAGCATTCAAAACGTCTTGAGATTGACATTGTAAAGCTTGACAAAGACGATAAGTGATTTCCATAATATCCTTCATAAGATGTTAGATGAAAGCAAATTCAAGTGATAATAGATGATCCAAAGCATAATCCACATCTCCACATTGAGAGAAATTTCCTTCCTTGGTAAGGCCATCTAGAGCCATAAAAGTTGCATTAAACATCTTTAGCCTTGAATCTAGATGAGAACTCCATCGAGTATGTCTGACACATTTTAAAGTGCCATTAAGTCCTCTTTCGGTCTCAACTTTATTATTTGCAATCATGGATGCAAATTTTCAGAGTGAACATCCTCTAATTCATCATTATATTTGCTAGATGTACTAACAACATTGATGATAAAAACGAAGGTGTCGAAGAATTAATGAACGGAAGATACTTTTCAAGATGCCGTAACCAACGCAAGTTGGAGGCGATGAGCTTAGCAATGAATATAATAAGCTTGTGGTTATTGCTTGCGAATTAGAGCTTGCAAGGTATTCCATTCACCTGTCATATTACTAGCCCTGTCATATCCTTGCCCTCTAATATTTTGAACATCGAACCCATGATGAGAAAGAACATAAAAATGTCATTGTTCAAAGCCGCGGTGTCTTGTACATGGACAAGACCAAAGAAACGTTCGTGTATGAATCCATCTTTATCCACAGATCTCAAAACAATGGTCATTCGTTCTCTTTTAGATTCATCATGTAATTCATCAACAATGATGCAAAATTTTGCATCACCTATTGCTTCTCGAATTTCTCTCTTGACTTTGCAAGAAAAGACATGAAAACTTTTCTTTTGAATATGTGATGATGTATAAGATGGACTTCCAGGAGCTTTGTCTAAGATAACATTTGAAAATTTTTCATCGTAAGAGGCCAACAACTTTGTAAGTTCTATAAAGTTGCCATGAGAGAATTCATGTTTCCATCATGACCATGAAAAGCTCAAGCCTGAAATGTAAACCATTGAATTATGTCCATTGATACTCGAAGTCGTAGCCAATTTATCACAACTTGTTCATAAGTATGCTTTTCAGCCAACTTTTCAATGTGTTGAGAGGCATTTTTTAAATCATTGCTTGCTTTTACAACATTTTTATGGAATGACTTTGGGTTTTTTCCGATATGTCATAGAAAATCCCAACTTTTCCTATTATTGACTTTCTTCCAAGCTCTAAAGCCTCCTTAAACATATGTATTTTTTTCCAACTCGACCCATTGGCTTGATAAAAAGATAACGAGATAAGCGGAAAGCTGTATCACTAGGTGGAGAATATTCAAGCCACTATGGAAACAATTCAAACAAAAAATGGGAAAAGTGACGACGATGCTTCTCTAGACCTGATACATGATAACTTTGAAGTTTGCATTGATATGGATCGGCTCTCAAATAATATTGTCAAATCTTATCTTGTTGGTTTACATTATATTTTCATATCGGTGAGTGCAATCCTGGATCACGCTCCGAAGAAGAGAAGTCAATTGTTTCAAGTTCAAACTTTTGGAGTTTTTTAGGGCGAAGTAATGAAGTTTCTTGAATTAGAGTTACATGTTCATTATGTATGGGTTGTTGAAGAGATCTTCTCTTCAAATGCATCAATTGTATTTGGTTTGCCCATAACCGCAAACTACATATAGGATTACTTCATTAGACTGAATCTACCTACAAAGAAATTATTGATAATGATAAGATTCGCAATCTTCATATATTTGATTAAAATTATTTCAAAAGTGTTAAAGTTTTTATTTCATGCATCATTATATATAATCAAAAAAATAAATAACTTCTAGAATCTTACAGGAAACACTAATTCCACACTCAAATTTCTTTTAGAAGTAGACAAATACCAAATTTGAACTTAATAAAACAAAACTAATAGAGATCTTAAATAATGACAAAAAATTTCCCTTAAATCACTGACCATAGGTAGGTTCATAAGCATCTGTAGGGCAAAGAATTAGAGAAATAATCCCCTAAGATGAAGAGGGTCTAAGAAGGCGATCATCATCTCAGAGTCGTATACTCAAGAATCAAAGTCGGAGGGGCTTGTCGTGGTTTTGAAGCGGAGTATGTCAAAGAGCTCAAAGAGATTGATTTAGAGCTGGGTATAATTGATTAGGTTTGGAGAAGGGAATATGTTGTGAACGGGTTGTGTTATAAATGGGTTAGGTTTGAGTTTGAGCCTTTGATCTTTTGTGTTTGGGCCTAATTGCTTGCTCAGTTTCCAAGTAGCTCACGATTTATATACTTGAGACTACTATCTCCTATCGTTTTTGCAAAAATACAAGGGGAACGTGGCCACCTGCTCCCCATCTTTGCCAGTGGTGTGCTGGTAAATGACAACAGATGGCAGTTGGCGATGTTAACACCTAAGGTGGGTGAGGCAAGGTGGCCTGGTGGCGGAATTTATCAGGTCGCGCGTCAACTCAAGTGATAAATTTCTGGGACATTCTGTTGAACACTTGATGACATCATTAGGTAGGTGGAGAGGGCCTAACATATATGAGAGTTGTGGCAATCATAGGCCGAGGAGGAAGGGTGGTGGCAGTGATCAAGTTGGCACGCCATGTGAAGAGATTAAAGTTCCCTTGGATATTCTGTCGGCCATGTTGCAAGCATCCGCAGAGGTGAAGCTGATCAAGTTGGCACGCCATGTGAAGAGATTAAAGTTCCCTTGGATATTCTGTCAGCCACGTTGCAAGCATCATTGTTGGCGGGTGGAGAGGGACTCAAAGGTGGGAGTGTGGTAGTTGAAGGCGGAGGAGGGGATGATTGCAATCATTGGCCGCAGTGGACACGGCCTGCGACCTAGCTATGATGTCGTTAATGCATCAAACATCTGTTACATGACTTAAGGAACTAATTAAATGTTTCTCTTTCATTTCTATGAACAAAATTTTAAGAAACACAAGTTCTTTACACTGATATAGATTAAACCTCAAAGAGCAATGTATCTATCATTAGAGTTCATAACAAATTCAAATTCAAATTTCTCTTAAACATCTCTGGTTGGGAGTGAGTTTAATAAAAACCTACCCTCTCTTGACTTTTTTTTTTCAACAATGTCAATTTTCTTTACTTGATTCAGATTTTAATTTAATTGGATTATTTTTCTTGGTGCTAAGCTTATAATATTTTTACTATTTTAATTTCTCTTTTGAATTTCAATATATTAACAATTTTATCTTATCATAATAGTAGCTTCCTTTGTCAATAATTTGAGTTTATTAATGAATGATGAAGAAGGAGTTACTAATACAGTTAATTTGATTATATTGTTAATAGAAGCAATTCTTTAAATTCTTCTCAAAATTTCAAATATCATTTTCTACTTCTTGATGTACTAGTCTCCTTGTGGATTTTGAGATATATTTTTGTTTGCATGCAGTTTGTAGAAGTAATATTGGGGCTTAAATTAGATGGGCAGGTATGATTAAACATGCTGAAATAATTTTATCTTTTATCTTTATACACTTAAGCATAATATCTTGCGAATTTTTTAAATTTATAAATATTTAATCTAATGAGTTTTAGAATGTCCATAAAATTTTGACATTTTATATAATGAAATGATGAAGCAATCAGACCGAGAAAATATTGTCCATATATATGTGTGTGTGCGCGCGCGTTAATTTTCGTTCCTTATGCCATCTATAGTGTTTGCCTTCTGTTGTTTGAAACTTTAACATTTTTGGACCATGCTCTCGATCTGACTATGGTTTTTATCTGGCTTCTTGCTATGACTATTTTGTTGAGGAAGTGATACTACCATGAATAAAGAAGAGTATGGATGAAGGAGGAAATGGTTTTTTTAATCCTAATGAACCCGTATTATTAGGAAATAGCCTCCAAACTGTCTTACTTTCTTTTAAACCATACATGACATAAGGAATTTCATCATTAAGCCCCATTGCAATGTCTCTAAGATTATTCTCATTATGGAAACATAAATAGCAAACTTGATATGTTAAATGTTAGATCCTATGTTGTATGGACACAAGTATTGGTACGAGTGCGGATACAGGTATAAGACACGGCAAATTCATAACGAACGGGTTATGAGGAGCCGACTATATACGCATATTGAACAATTTATGTAAGATCGATATTATTTTTTTGTTCTTATGTTATGAGAATTAAAAGTCCAATAACATTTTTATGTTTCTTTCATTTAGATTATGAATTGGAATAAAACCATTGTTTTTTAGTTAGCTACCCTTATGACCTTTAAAATAATAGTTCTAAACTAGGTATGACCTGAAATGAACCCAACCCATGTTCAACGAGAAGTAGTTGTGAAGTGTAGGATAAACATCCATGAAGTGTATGACGAGTGTTCTAAATTAAAACATGCATTATATGATTGAGCATACGTTTGAATGGATGTATGTGTATGTTCAAGGAGTGCCCTATGAGTATCATTATTTGGTACAATACGGGTATGACACAAGATAGAAGTACCCACAACGTGTCCAAGGAGTGTTGGTGTCAGGTATATCTCGGGTATGAATACGGCTTCATGATAGAGGTACCTGCATAACATAGGCCGGATATCATAAGTTATAACATGTGGAGTGATGCCTAGAAGAGTGATGCCTAGATTCATCTGTAGGACATATAGTTCTACTATTTTTATTTATCTTAACTATGTTACTTTGATATTCTGTGCATGAACCTAATCAAACTGGCTGACTTTCTCATTATTGCTTTATAGCTGAAGTATCCAATTGATGTAGTGCCTATTTTACAACAGCAGGATAAAAGAGGAGCCTTCATCAATGATTTTTACATTGGCTTTATGAGTTCGTGTGCATACTCTTTAGCTTTGTTTAGGGGTGAACTCCTTTGCTAGATTAATGACTATTTCCATTTCCTCCATATTTGTTCTGATCCCTCTTTCACTAAATATCCTATCACTTCTAGCTGGTGTATATGTCAGGGTATTGGTTTAGACCACATTTATAAAACTTGGTGATTCTTCCTCAGCTTGCTCTCAATTAAAAGCTACCTCAACCTTGTGGAATGCATGAATATTTTATCTGATATTTTAGTGTCTTGTTGCCTATCCATTTCAATGTTCTCTATCTGGTTAAGCTCATTTTGGGCATGTTGTTACATGTGAGTCGTATTTGATCTTTCCACTCCCATCTTCTTGTTAAATTCTTTGAAACCATCCTTAATTTGACCGGGTCACCATACGATGAATGATTGATCTTGAAAACGTGAAAATGGTCTGGTATTGGAATTACACCCCCAATTCATATAAGTTTTCCAATTTGCATGTGTCTAGATTTGTGTTATTTCTAAATGTTTAGATTCTAGACATTTCCTTCGTAGTCTACTTTAATTATTGTCCCTTATTTAGTTTCATCAGATAAAAGATTAATGAGCATTGATATACACCAATAGATTGTACTTGGATTTTGTAGTAAGGCCATGAATAACTAATGCAAAGAGGTAAAATCTGACTATGATGTTCCCTGATTCTTTGTTCCCCCCTCAATCTCATCCAATCTATTAATGTAGTAGGTAAATAGCTTGCATGATAGAGCTCCTTGCCTAAAAACTAGAATTGATCTTTGCAAATGACTTTTTTTGCTCAATTGTTCTTTCTTTAAAATTTCGCGATATCTTCAAGTTGTTTCTTTCTTTCTCTCTTTAGTTAAAAGTGTTTTTTATATTTAGCGTCATGAAGTTTTTTGCTCATTCCCATCAACTAAAACTCATCAACAATCACATCATGACTCCAAGCTATTACCTGTTCCAGTTATTTGGATTAGGTGTTGAAAGTAGTATGTAAGAGTTTCTTATTAAAAAAAAAAAGCTAATTAAGCATTGAAAAGAGGGTTTTGTGAAGAACTTCAATAGTTGGAACACCTCTATAAGAAGTCGATCACATGTTTATGATTTGTTATTATATGATGTCGACCCTTCATGTGTTCAGAATTTTCATAGAAGTATGTACAAGAGAGGATGATGTAAAACGGGGGAGGGGGTCTATCGGAATCAGCGATTCAATTCGAATAATACAACGTTTCGCTAAAATTCATGATATTCGGTAGGAAATTTAATAAAACAAACAGTTAAGGTGACCGATGGGTTTTAACAAGATTTTCAATGATAACCATAAACAATTCCAATCTTGAATAATTTATTCGCAATATCAATTATCATTTTCGCAAGTTCTAAGATCAATATTAATTTTTCAACAGTCACAAATTCAGTTCTCTCAACTCACAATATAATTTAAGCAATGAATATATGATAAGAGTTTAGAGATTTAATACGCATGCAATTAACTGATAAAAATGAGATTAACAGAAAATAATAAGAAAGCGAAACCTTCGTATCGGACTCGAGTTGGAATCCAAACAGATCTGAAACAGACTTTGAATTACATACGAAGCATTAACGGGTCTGTTACTATACGGGTCGGGTCTGAACTGAAATCAGATCCCAAATGAACAGTGCGATCTGATTAAAAGTCGAATCCAATTAGATCAGGGGTCTGATTAAATGGGAACGGATCTAATCAGCGCCTCCTCTGCGTTGGCCTCAACCTGTGGGAAAGAGAGAACGACGAAGGACGCGACGATGGCGGGACTGAACTCCGACGAAGGACGACGCGGGCCGGGCTGGTGACTCGTCATAGGACTTGCAACTGATGGAGAGCGGAGAGGGGATCTCGGGTGTGGAGGCGGCGCTGCTCGGGTTGTCGGCTTTGGAGGTCAACAGGGGTTTCGAGGCTTGAGGAGGTGGAGATGATCGGGGGGTTTGGTTGCTGTTCTGGGCAGTGAGGACAGGGAGTTGGCGGTGTGAATCTGGGTGGAGGAGACAAGGAGTTGGTGGAACGGAGGTTGAAGGAGATGAATAGGAGATTTTGGTGATTGAGTTCTTTTTTTTTTTACGTGCGGCTGAGAACAATGAACAGAGAAAAGAAAACTCGGCTAGGGTTTCACACCCATTGGTTTCACACCAAAATAATCAGCCAACAATTTTCATTTTTATTCATCAATGATTTTTTTTCATGATTACAGCAGGGTTTATAAAGAGAAAATATTAGAGATTTACAAATCTCTCACAAAATCAAATCTCTCAAAATAAAATCTCACCAAATAAAAATTCCCTCAAATCACTCAATTACCAAAACTGCTAACTACTAAATTTAACCAAATTCGAAATTCAAATTTAAACTACTAAAAACCGAAATAAATAAAAACAAAAGTCAAATAACAACTAATATGGAAGCTTGTCCTCATCAGAGGACCCTAATACAAACCTTAACTGTGAGTTGAGAACTGGTAATCCTACCTTTTAATCTCGCAGGTTATGCTCACAAAACTAATGCAAACTTTAAATTAGTCTACTAAGTCTAGTGCAGAGAAGTGTCTAGTAGAGCAGGGAGGACAATAGTATCTACTATAGATCACATTCGTCCCCTAGGCATGAAGTGTGCCAAAGAGCTAGAGAAACTATGCTATCTACCTTTGCATTACTTGCCATCATCTTTTTCAGTGTTTCTTATTTCTAAAAAATATTTGAATGTTTGATTATTATGTGAACAGTGCACATGTGACTATGTTATAAAGAAATTGATATCAAACTATTGAATCTTCTTTTTCTCCTTTTGTCTACTATTTTTCAAGTTATTCTGCTATCTAGGCTCATTTTGTGTGCGTCAATTGTACATTTTATTATTCCGTTTTCAACTTGAAGTTTTATGTTCTTTTTCAACTAGCACAGATCTTGGACTTATTGTTGTTCTCTGAAAAACAATGCTGCCAAAATATTCTTAACCTTTTTGGTCCTCTTTAGAAGTTGTTCTAATCTTTATAAAAGTAACTTAAAATGTTGTTGCTTCTAACAAGTTGAAATTTTTTGACAGTATCCAGATAAACCTCCTTATGTATATATAGTAGACATGAAGGGTCTTGATGACAAACGACAATCATATTTGGTTACAAGGATAAATGACAAAGCCCACGAGCTCTCTTCATACCTGATGCTTGTAGCACTTTGTGAGGTACCTATTCTTTGAACTTTTAATGTTAATGGTTGGTGGCATATAAGTAGTGAACTAGCATGATTACTGGTACATTGATGTGATAATGTCTTTATCTTCTTATAGGAGCATGCTTTTTGTGTTGTCTTCCCCAGAGGGTTAAATATGATACCTTTTGCTCTTTTATAATTACTAATACAACTGAGGACATAATCGCATCTCGGGAAGCAGAAACGTTTACTAAATTGCATAAATGTATTAGGATCAAGAAATCTTTCTTCTTTTCACAATGGAAGACACGGTACAAGCTTCTTCATGCTAATCACCACATGAAGCAGAATCTTTCCCAAGATGTTAAGTAGGAGCAAGTGAGTCTGACTTCAAGTAGGAGCAAGTTAATAAGATGCAATGGCTTATATTTTGTATACTAGTGTCTTTAGTAAGTCAAGAAAAGAGCTCTTCGAGACTGTAATTCAGCACAAGTGGTGGTCTCACTGCTCTTGCAAAGTGACCAGTGGTTAACACAACCAGCTTCCCGAGGCGACTCCTAGCATGCTTGAATACCTTATTATCGGCACCACCTTGGATGTGCATGTAGTGGTTTTACTGTCACCATTGCCATCTCTGCTTGATGCCGATCACACCTAGCACAAACCAAGTTTGATTGGTGGTTTCCTTTGTGATAAAGCCCCTACCCTTAGCGCTGCACGCATCACCCGGTAATCTTGGAGTGAACATCCTATCAGAACCAGTCTCACGGTTACAATTATGCGGAAGAATAGCCTCTTGACATGTGTATAACCGTATGAGTACCAACCCCTTAATAGAGAGCTGCTTCTCATGTTTAGCCTCTGTTAGAACTAACAATTTTTTTTCCTAAAATACTAAGCACTGTCAGTATCCTGATGAGAAATGGTGTATCCCACTAAACTAATTCTTGTATCACATTAAACTAAAGAATCCTACCAAACATTGGTATCTCACAAGAATCCTCTAAATGTTGGTTTTTTTTTTGTGATGGCCTTCTTAAGTTCAAAAATATCACAAAGTCCCTTTCAGTTTGGCAAATTTAAAAATGTCATTTAACCCCCTTTAAGTTTGGTATGATCCAGAATTTTTTTGTTATGGCCTTCTTAAGTTCAAAAATATCACAAAGGCCCTTTCAGTTTGGCAAATTTAAAAATATATTTTAACTCCTTTTAAGTTTTCAAATTAAAATTCTAATTATTAATTTAAATTAACTAAGAATTGAACTATCTAAATCCCTAGCCCTAATTTAAGAAGCTCTTTAGAAAATTACCTTTAAAAATATTAAAAAGGACATAAAAAGGTTCTTTTTAGTAGGGGGTTATCTGATACAACTTAAGCGTCATTAAGCGACATTTTTAGAGTTTAAGGGAGTATCTCAGAAACGGTAAAAACTTAAAGGGGGTTAAGTGACATTTTTAAACATATGTAATGTTATCTCGAAAAGGGCCAAACTTAAGTGGGGTCTTAAGGAATTTACTTTTTTTTCCTTTAACCAATTTCTTGCGTCTTGCCAATCTTCCAAGGATTAGTTTATTCACAACTAAATAGAAACTTTATCTAACGAGCAATAGAAAATTTGGAAGTGATAGAATAGTTTCTGGAGGTCTTCTATAGAGTTTCTCGTATGTTCATCATTGAACATATAACATAAAAAAAGATAAATTGGATTTCATGTGCCATCATCTTTAAACAATCAATAAGAAAAGTAAACTCAAGCAATGCTGCCAATGCATAATACAATCAATATCTACTACTACAATGTCAGGAAGTTAATGTTAGTTATGCAATAAAAGAATTTTCAAGTAGTCTTATACTCCATCAAATCTTTGATGAGGAACATTGAGCTTGATAGAATTAACAAAGAAAATATTGAGCTTCATATGAGTATGAAGTTGCTCCCCTTTACATCGATATCTTGATCTGTACAAAGATATACTCTATTGGTACATGAAAAGCTAGATACAAAATGGGAACTAGAGCTAAAATTATCAGCAAACCTTGATAATCATCAAAGGTTAACGTTCGCAGTATTGCTTGATTTTGACTCAAAAAATTGAAATGCTAAAATAGTTAAATAATCACTTGTAGTACCTTTGTCTAGTCTAGTGTAAACAATACGGTCAAGTATTAATCAACCCCGAGTAAAAGATCACTATGAAAAATAAGTGGGACATAATCACCAAACATTTAAAGAATTGCTCTAAATTCTTTATAAATCTTTTCATTTATGTCTGGAATCACTATAATTCCTACTATAATAAATACACGAGTCATTTGCAGTCCGTACATTTGTTCACATAATTATTACAAATGATGCAATATGATTGGGATATACTAATTCTATATGATAATTTCAACAAATTTGGAAAAAATATACACTTGTCACTAAGGATATGAATTGAAATATTCAACTACCAATAAGGCTCTGGCATAAAAAATGAAGTAAAGTAAATCTAAGTAGGCAATAAACGAACTTGAGAGCGAACCATAGATTCTAAAATGAACCACATGCAATGGGTTCTTCTTAATACTTAGAACCTTCTTAGACTTGTTCTGAGTTGATGAGCAGTTAAGTTGACCTATTTTCACAAAATAATATAGATATAAACTTTTGGTGATGCAGCATATAAGAGGAAATAAATAATATATTATATACCTCTATCTCATTTTCTCTTTAGTAAGTGGGAACATGTACTTGCATATCTTGAAACAGTGTTTCTTTGGAATCTTCTCTTAAGTATGCACTGTAGTCTACAATGGGCTATAAGTAGGGGTGCTAAACCGTATCCGTATCCGAGGAAATATTCGTCACCGTATCCGTTAGGACACAGATATGGTTAGTCAAATCTATAACCGATAGGATATGGTTACGGATATGGTTTTGTAGTGAAATGTTCGGATCCGTATACGAAATATCCGAATACATATTAGTCATACTCTTACGATAGTTTTACTTTTTAGATTATGGATTTGTGGTTAATTTTGATGATCAAGATATCTAATCTTAGCTTTTCGGTTATAATGAACATAATGACGAGCTCTTTCGTATCACATTAATTATGTTTTTCTCAATACTATCTAATTTTCTCATATCCGTTTTGTATCCGCATGCATATTGTCTTATATATATGTATATGTATGTATGTATGCATGTGTATATATATATACATGCATACATATACACACATATGTATATATATGTATATATATATGTGTGTGTATATGTATGTATGTATGTACACACACACACACATACATACATACATACATACATATACACATATATGTGTGTGTATATATATATATGTACGTATGTGTATATGTATGTATATATATGTATATATATATGTATATATGTGTGTGTATATAAATACACACACACACATATATATATATATACATATATACACACACACATATATATGCGCGCACACACACACACACATATATACATACATACATACATATATATACACACACACACGCATACATATACACACATATATATAGACATATATGTGTATATGTATGTATGTGTATACACCCATATATATATATATATAGAGAGAGAGAGAGCAAGACTTCTATCAGCTTAAGTGGATATGGAATAGTTGTCCACCAAACTTTTTAGCCACTCATTTATTAATATAAAAAATCTCTTCATATCATGCAAGGATCCCTAGGCAAGATCCATGGATAAAAAGTTTGGTGGATAACTATTTCCTATCCACTTAAGTTGACACAAGTTTTCACCTATATATATATATATATATATATAAAGAGAGAAATTCTTATGTCAACGTAAGTGGATCATCCACCCGTTTCCTTCATTTTCCAAAAACGATTTTCTTTCACTTTTTTGTGTTTCCTTCACTTTCATGAAAAGTGTTTCTTGTATTTGTTTCGCCAAAAAATATGGGCTGAAAATACTTTCCACCACTTTTCTTAGTTTGGTTTAACTTGAAAAAAAAAAACAATTGATGTGTGAATAGATTCCCTCATTTTCTAGTGTTTAGTTCAAACTAAAAAATCAAGAAAACTTGATTATGGTCACCATGGTGTGATTACCACCCATATAAGACAAAATATTAACAACAAAAATTAAGGCACACAAAATATAATGTAACGCACTTAATTGGCTGCAAATTCAAAAAAGCAAGCAAACATTGCCTGAAATTCAGAAGTCAAACATACGACTCGACTTGGCCAACTCGATTGAAACCAAACCAACATTGCCTGAAACGAACTTGACTTTGACCAAACCAAGTTTGAAAATATCCAAGACTGAACCAAGGCTGTAACCAACTCGAGAGAAACCAAGACTCCAACAACCTAAGATTGAAATCAAACCAAGCCTGACAATCTTTCATGAAACTAAAGGCCAAGCACACAACTGAAACCAAACTCCAAGCAACAATTGAAACCAAAGGCCAAGCCTCTACATCACTACTCGAAAATAGAGGCTCAACTACTTTTCACCTACTCCAATATAGATGTAGGGACCGGATCAGTCCACATCACTACCAAGTTCAATGGAGCAACTTGGTACCAAGTTTCTCTATTTTTCTCTCTCTATATATATGTATGTATGTATGTATATGTATGTATGTACATACATACATAAATATATACATACATATATGTATGTATGTATGTATACATACATACATACACATGTGTTCTTTACCCTCTGAAGTAATCACTTCTCTAGCCTTATCTTCCATGACTCCATCCTTAGCAAATAATATGTGTTCTTTACCCTCTGAAGTATCATTTTCTCTAGCCTTATCTTCTATGACTCCATCCTTAGCAAATATGATCCATCTCTTTGACAACTAAATTTCATTGCATGCCCAATAGATTTAGTTTAACAAGTCCAGGACAAGATGAATTTGGGCATGAAACTTTATAGTTGTTAAGTGCAAGTAAGTTGACCTTTAAATTCTTCTTCAAAGACTTTGTAGATATTCCTCGTATATATAATTTTGCAT